CCCTTCTTCTGACGAGTTACAATATCAGAAACAGTCAAGCTGCAGTCGCTTTCCCACCAATAGGATGGTGCCCTTACCCAAATTTACTCGTGGGATGAGTGTAGTTGCGCGGTGGGAAATGGGTTGGCGGCTTAGCTGTACAGGTGTGACGATCTGACAAGCATTTGGGTCAGTGGATTTAGGACCATTCCACTTGCAACCAGAAAATAAACTTTTCTGCTTATGTACTTAATTCCACTGAAAAAATACCTATTGTATCTATCTTTTTTAACTATTTCAACATTTTTATGCAGAATCATAACGTTGCATCTGGTGCGGTCTAAAACTTTTCGCGGAAAAGGTAAATCATTTATACAAGTCTCTTTCTGCAATTGCTTTTAATTACTAGTCTGCCATTTTACTCTAAGTGCCTGTACTACTTAACAAAAGATCATTTCTATTATTAATCTGACAACTCCTGAACAACTCTTTTACGGTTTCGCTCAATACCTCTTAAATCCTAAACTTTGAGGATGGATGTGTTTTGAGCTTAGCGGCTTCATGAACCCGCATCAACGCTGCACCACACCTGTGGAAGTTCTATTTCCCAATTTGTTGAGTAGCGCTTGGTTGTGTGTGGATATTGAATGTGCTATCTAGGGATGGTTCATAAAAACTTGGTTCTGGTGCCAAATTATCCAAAACAAAGATAGCTCTACTGTGTCAAGAAGACCCTCTTTTCTTGTCGCCATTGAAACTTTAATTCAAAATTACCTTGTCGGGAAGGGAAATTCGCGAGTGCCAGTTAGCTAATCGAAGCAGCATCCATAAGCAGGTGGCAAAGAGGCTCCAATGACTGACAACTTTTTCTTCCTTCCATACCATAAAAGCACGTCCTCTACTTTAAATTGTTTGTCCACTAACTGAAAATGAAAATCACTTTTTTTAGCTTCATATTTTTCCCTGAAATTGGCGTTTACATTAAGGTCACACATCTGTGACATGGGGTCTTTATAAGTTTACAGTTGCTGGTTTTACTAAACCGTCCAAAGCAAAAAGAGTGACAGGGTCAAATATACTAAAAACACCTTCAGTGCCCTCAGTCTCGGCATAAGTAAACGTTTCAGCTTGCGGCCGGCAGACCGTTTAGCGCCTATTTGACCGAAATTGGATGTTGGCAACTCGCCCAGATTCAGACAGCCAAGGTGTCAAATAACGAAGTCAAGCCACCACTGTTGGGGGTAATTTTCTTTACCGCCAACAAAAATTTCACTTTTTAAAGAATGCCTGATTTTAAACATTCACAAATAGGATGTCCATTTAATCCGACATACTTGGATTAAATCGGGCAACCACAGAATGGTCACGGATCTAAAAGTACAATAAACACGATTTGTGTGGTGTATCTAAGACAAATACTTATAGTGTTACATTTCATTTCTTCCCCATGGCTTAAAAAGACTATAATAATCCAACAAAATTATTATTTTTCCAATCACAGAACACTATTCATTCAAAAATGCACCCTCACTGTTGTCTCAAGCCTTTTCTACGCAAAGGCAAAAAAATAGCATACACCTAAATTTCCCCATTCTCTGCCTATGACAAAGTCCGAAAAATGTTGCCACGCTGTGAAGCACTTCTTTCTGATTTACCTGGACAGTGCATCCATCAGCGAACTTCATGTCACAGGTCAGCTGTCATGCATTCATGGTTTTTCTTTGACATGTGCGCATAAAAACCTCAGAAACGTGACTAACGCCTCTCGCTCTTCTAGCCACGATGGTTGAGTGATAATGGTGAAAAAGGATTCATAAGTAAATTACTCATATCGAAATCCAGTTTTTAAGCATGGGTCGTGGTAGCCTTCATGGGTCTATTTGTCAATCCAAAAAACCACCTAATTTTATTTTTTCCTGACTGACTCAAGGATGGTTCCTTCAGATACTACAGAACTTAATTTTAAAATAGAAGCTTTCTTAAAAAATATAAAAGAAAATGCAAAACTATCAGCATTGAGTTATTGGAGGGATTGGGTTAACTTGACAGAACCAAACAGCCCTTGTAACACCGACTCATTTAAACAAAAATAGAACTAGTCTGCAAATTTAAAAGGTGGCCAAAATTGAGACAAAAAAGGTAAAGCAAGAGACTCTTGACCTGAATTGCGCCGGTTAAGGGATCAGCCGAAGGTACTTGTGAAATTGGGTCAGCAAATGGAAAACAGCTGAGATGCCCCGATTCAGTCTACCCTTCCAATGATGCACAAATTATTTAAAAAGGGAGATCTTAAACTAGTAACCTAAAATAGTCCAGGCTATATAAAAGCAGACCCTGAAGATAAGAGTTTGTGGACTCCTTGAATCACCCTTTGCAGGTGATTGAATCCGATGCCGTTATAACGAAAGTTTTGAAACTTCTTTAGAGTAAAAATGAGAAAAAAGAAGACAAAATTCTTTTCAGCCAAAATTCTCTTATCCACTTGAACGTCGCACACATTTGTGAAGTTGAATTCAAATAAGAAATTGTGGTTGCTGCACAAATATGCCGCTTGTGGAGAAAGAGAGGAAATTCGCTTTCCTCACGTAAACACAAAATTAGACCTAACTTTTTAGCCCAGAAAATAATGAGACCAAAGATTCCTCCTCATTTGTAATGCCACGACGGGAAATGTTCCCAACTTTCATTGTTACCCCCTTTCTCCACGAAAGAACAAAATAAGAGAAGGATGAGTCAGATATCACCGGTACATACGCGCCAGGTTCCCATTATAATGGGCAATTATTTACTTTTTTGATGTGTAGGGCAATTTTTTCCATGACAAATCATGACTCATAGAGTAGGTGATTGCTACGACCCCACCATTAGGAGTATGGTGTCCTGGCTTTTCTTTCCCTCGTACTATTTTCTTCCTCCCCTGTGGGTATCAGGAGGATAGAATACCCTAAAGTAAGATACGGAAACTTCTTTAAACATAATAAATTCGCATCGAATTCCGGTGCACCTCCTTTTTGTGTATATTGTTTGGTTACAGGAGGTGGGTGAAAAGAAGGAACTAAAAATGAAAAAGGCGGAAAGGACAGCGAATGGACGATTGGATTCACAGAAACACTTTGATGACTCTCCATCTCTTTTACCCTTCCCCGCGACCTCCCCTTCCGCCTTCCGCCTCTACCCCCAAAACATGATTCGGTCACATGGGAACGGCTAATGTTACGAATGTCTGTGTTCAAGTACGAACTGTACCGTTCTTTACATAGATGGGGCGGAATAATTACTACTGTGGTTCCTGAAGCGGATGCTATAAATGGTACACTTTGCATCATATAGTCGAAGTTTGACAGTTTGAAAATTGGGCGCAATTGTTGTTTGAATTGGAAGAAGTTTTTACATCTTATCTGTACAAGTGAGGTTAAAAGACTTTTAAGACCCTTTTTATTTGTTGAAACATCCACTATTATAATCTCCCGTGTTTTTTTTAACCAGGTACACTTAATGCTTTGAACATTTTTTGCCTGAAACAAACACCCTGAATGTACTCACAACACATAAAGCAAGAGGATCCTTCGGGGACTTCAAGTATGAGCAGTAGGTGTCTCGAAAGTGTGGGCTAAAAGTGAATCTTGTGGACTAACCACTGGCTTGTTTTCTGTAAAACTCTACAGCAAAGCGTTATTTCCTATTGAATGTCCTTGTGCGGAAAATTAGTGAAAAAAACAACTTTACTGTCACTTGTTAATATATGCGCATGGCTCTAATTTAAGTAGTATGTTTTGGGACTTCCTCCTTTCACACCATTTGCGTGTAACTTAAGGGGACGTTAACTTGCCAAGAATTAACATGGGCCACTGACGACTCGAAACCGCCTTTATTTGCCTGACCAAGAACAGATATTTCTTTCCAAACTCTTCATCAGATTTCACCACCATGTTTAGTCCCAAATTTCAGGAGTTTATGCAGTTAAAATGACTGTTTTAAAAGCTTTGGTAGATTAACTAATGTTTCAGTCAATTTAAAAGGATAAATATGCAGCTTTTGTGAAGAGCCTTAACATAGTAACACACGGAAGCACCAAGATTTTTGAAAAACTACCTTGTTTCCATATAAACAAAAAGATGGATGCAATTCCAGGAGGGTACTTCCTTCAAATTTTGAGTTTTCCTTGCAAAAGAACCATATTTTCTAAACAAACTAAATATTTAAACACTTTTGCATTTCACGGAAAGTAAGTACATGGAAGAGTTGCGAGAGGGCAATTTGGAAATTTGTTTAGCTGGGGAATTCGGTCTTGGTAAGTTGTGCCTAACTAGGGGATATAATATGGCTTTCTCGAGACAGTCTAGCAGGTTAGCACCTTTTCCATCACTAGGGATGCTACTCTTCTTAATACCTATCAAAAGGACTTTATCGTAGGGCGACATTTATGGCATTAAACGGTTTTGAGGGGTAAATGGTATCTACCCGATTGGTACTTGTGTGATCGTTGTCAATGTAAATGAGGTTCCTGTTACTACTAGTCATACTGTTGTTGGTACCAATGTTGCTA